TTCTCTCAAACACTGTTTCAACTCTATTCAGTCCATTGTTACTTCAAAACCATTTTAATATTTTTCATTATATAAAAGCTGTTCCTCTATGAAATTAATGATATTCATATTAAAAAAAAACAGTTGATGTTTATCAAGAATTAAAAAAAAAAATCTCTGAGACAAATGGGGAAACTCAGGAATTCTCCCTTTTTTATTCCAAGCAAGCCAAGGAAGCTCCAGTATACATACATATAGCATAGATATATTTAACTGATCATCTATAAGAAAATACATACATTCAATTAAAATAAATACTATACTATAGGTATGTGGTAAAGACTAATTTTGTGGGGTAAAATTCCATCAGAAAGTTTGCTCAAATTTTAGTTTTTTCCAAAGCATTTGAATCATAGAGCCTACTTTTTAAAATACCAAAACAAATACTTTGGACTTATTGTGTAAACAGCCAAGTTATCATGGTGCATATACCTCTCGTTACAGCTACTCCCTATTCAGAACATCAGAATAAAGACAGAAAGAAGACTGCAAATACAGCTTCAGTTTGATTTCATACTGAAATACCCAGTAAAGGTCCTCTTTGGTAGGCTGGTTGTACTAGCAAAACAAAACAAAATTTATTATTATCATATTCATTCAATACTTAATATGTGCCAGTCAACGTTCTAGGATTTTTGTACATACAATTTCCTTGATGATCTCAAGAACTCTATCAAGTAGGTAGATAAAGAACCTGAGTCTAAGTCACATGCCCAAGGCTACACAGCTCATGAATGAAAGGTCAGAATTCAAATATCTTCTTTTGGACTTTGAGATCTTGTTCTTAACCATCATATGTGTTTACTATTCATAACAATATCTATTACCCAACTTAGATGAGAAAACTGAGGTTCAAAGCTCAGTACCCTATTCGAAGTTTTTCTTCTATGGAGTCATCCACTGAAAATTAAATCAGGTTAAAAATTATTAAATCAGGTTCTCCTTCAAATCACTCTTCCAAATTACACTCTGCCACTAATCATTGTGATTGGGACATCTTGTAAAGTCACTATTCTTTGTTTTTATCATTTATATTCAACCTATTTCCTTGATTATAAAAAGAATAATATGTTGAAACCAATAAAAACATATGTTTCATTCCTACAGTAATCAAGAAAAAGTGGTTCTGGCTGGAAAAAGCATTTAAAAAAATGCCCTGAGTTATTTTTGGCCCATACGGTATCCCCAAGACACGTTCTTCCTGTGGACACAGAGCAGCATATGGCTGTTCTTTTCACAATTCAGGCTCTTCTGTTTACTCTGAACCTCTAGGTTACAGTATGTTTTGTAATCACTAATAAGGACCACCTGCCTCTTGAGAGTTTCTGCCTAACAAAATAGAGAGACTCGTTCGTTCTAATTCACTCTCAGGTAGACAATACACCCCTCATGTGTGGGCCGAGATTACTAAGTAGAAAACTTAAACAAATTATGCTGATTGTATTGCTAAATTAAGAACATATGTCAGTTTCATAAAAAGAAAAAAGAAACAGTAATGTTTGGAACAATAAAGACAATGCTTTGGAGGAAATGAAATACCTAATATATTTTCCAGGAAAAAGAAAAAGAATAATCTACTTATTTCAAAAATTCATTCAATCCACTAAGAGATATTCAAGGCAAATTTATTGCATTCAAATATGCCTAACCATATACCCTCTTTCTACAAATTTATACTATAGTTGAACTCAGCCAGAAAAACTGGCACTTTGAAAACAAGCAGAGTTCAATCCAATAACTGACTGATAAATGCTTACCATTGAGAATGTGAAAGCTATCATAAATCTGGTTTAATAGAACAAGAAGAGATAGAGTATATGGAGAAGAGTAAATCCTCCTGTCAGTATCCTCCTTTGGCCACAGTGACAATTCCCACCAGAGGCTGGGCCAGATTAGGAACCTCTCTCTAGGCTGCCATTGCAAACCCGTATATATACCTTCATCAGTGCACCTGCTTCATTGCGCTAGAATGGTTGGTCCGACTGTTTGTCTCTCCTTCTAATCCATGAGTGCCCCGAGAGCAGGGTTCACCTATTCACTCTAGTCTCAACACCTGTTAACAGAGTATGAGCACAGACTGAATTTACCAAATCCATTCAAAATATAACTGCCTAGGGAATGATACTCACCCACATGGTACCACAGGAAAATAAATTCATCTTATATAAACTCTACTTTTTGAATGCAGAGAGATTTTCCAAGTATTAAGGCCAATGTCAAAGACAGGCAGAAAGGACTGGCTGTGGGGACAAACAGTCAGCATTTTGAATGCAAAGATTGTCTCTGAACTTTCTCACACAAACTCAAGTTCCTCTTCTAATGGGACCTTCACTTTACCCAGTACACTCATTATCTATCATGTCTCTCACTGACCATGTGGAATATTGAGATATTGGACTAATCATAAGCAACATTTACAGACCTCTGATGTGCCAAACACGGGGCAAAGTTATTTATTGTATTACTTCATTTAATGCTCATTACAACCATATAAGGTGGGTGCTACTGTTTTCATTTCAGACGTGATAAAACTGAGGCAAATAATTTGTTTAGTACTTTGCCACAGATATAAGCAGAACATTAACAAGTCAGTAGCTTGCCAAGCACTCTAATACTCCACCTTCAAGCAGGTGACTAACGCAACTCCTAAGGATAAAAGTCATTTGATTTGTCCTGATAATCCTCAGAATTCAATTCTTAATTTATAACCTCTCCCCACAGTCCAATTTATTATTTTTTCTTCTAAGAGCTGCATTTTCCATTTCAGTAAAACCAGCAATGCTATCTAGTTACAAATGATCATAATCATGCATGAGAAATAATTCTCACAAATTGTTTTGATACATTTTATGAACAATAACACAGTCATAAACATAAAACTTTCATGCACTGTTAAATGTACATAAAAGAGCAGCTTGAGATTCAATAGGAAGTTTTATAACTACATTATGTGTATATGGTGAGACAGGTATATATGTGTACTTGTGTGTAAAATTATGTCACGTAATGGTATTGTATGTTAGTGCATATATTTCTGAAACATTTGATTTTGCTGTGTAAATCCCTAATCATCAGAATATATTAATGATAGGCAGTTTGACATTAATAAAAGTCAGACAAAAGTAGCTTTCCTATCTTAGACCTTGTCAAATCATTTCTGTCTTATTTCATTTCCCATAGGTCCTCTTTCAAAAGGGCTTTTGTCAAAAAGCTATTGATTATCAATAACCTGTGGCATTATCAAAGTTATGTTTCAGTAAATGTCAATTTGGATTGCAGAACAATGGATAAGATTTCATGAAGCACCTACAAGTAGTAAAGTATTGATATGTGGCCTTACGTATCACTACAATAGTTAGAAACATAAGCTGTCTGTGCATTATTAAATGCATAGCTGTAATAATTATCAGGAAGAAAAATAAATCATAATCTCTCTGGTTCTGTAATTTCTCATTGTCTACTTTTCTGAGAACTTGGGTGACTGGTGCTGCATAGACATATCACTTCGGGGGACATATTTGGAAATACAAAAAAATTGATTAAAAATATCAAATTGATGTCTTCTGATTAGGTTCAAACATGAGAAAGCATGTGTACACTCTCACAGTATTATGGTAGCTCTGAGAATCAAGAAGAGGAGATGCCTTTGTTAGAGGAAAGAATGAATTACACAAAAAAATAGAACAGAAGAAGAATATTTTCCTAGTTTATTTGAAGCATTTTAAAAACATTCTACTGTCTACTGTTCTTGTAGTTATTTCTTGGCCACCAATTTCTGTGAATAGTCCTACATTTCTGTGGAAGAGATGCTGGATGAATGAACTCCAAACCTCGGCTGAGACTACAGAACGTGCTCCATCCTTCTCTATACCTAAAAAAGCCAGTGTGCACTAATATGTGGCAAAGGGCTGTTGAAATGTGAAATAATTCTTTACAGTAAGTAGATGCTACCCTCCCTGGCCTCCCCACCCCAGCATCCACAGCCCTGTGCACTGATTTCCTGGACCTCCCTTATCCATCAAGTTCAGAATTGGTTTCCTGTTCCAGAGCCCCTTAGGATTGAAGAGTGATGGCACCTAGTAGCTCTCCCGAAATCCCCCAAAGACCTCTGCCCTAAGAGAGCTCCTCTGAGGGAGTGCCCACCAGTCTTGGACACCTGATGAAGTTCCTCCTCCGTACAGCCATCCCCACGTGCTAACCCCACTGGGTCCCCATCAGATTCCAGTCGAAAGAAACAGAACCTTGGGTGATGGTGTGGCACCTTGCAGGCAAATGCCCAGGTGCTTTTGGGTACCAAACCCAGGTCTTGGGAACCTGCTTCCAGCTGGGCTCTTCAAGTCACCCTCACATGGCCACTTGTGGAAACTGAGAAATAACGGACCTTGACCTGAAGAGTGCCTGAGGTAGACAAAAACAGCAGGTAGCTCTAAAGGCTGTTAAATAATCTGAACGCCACCCTTGGATACATCAACCTTCCCTGGTGTTGCAACTGAAAGAGGCAATATAAACGCATAGTATGATTCACTTCCATCAACCTGATATAGCCAGAAGGTCTCACCTTGTGATGTGGCAAAGGTGATGTGCCCTTTTTTTAAGCCCAAATTTATAAACGAGGACATATTCAGTCAATTCCACCCCACCCCCAACACACAGACATACAAAAATTGTACAAAGATTACAACAAATTTCTTTCATAAAAAGGCAAAATTTCTCTAAGTGTATAGTCAATTACAGAAAAAAAAATCAGATCATTCATTAAATTCTTACAGGTATCAGAAGATTTCTCTAAAGAGGCTCAAGAATGTCCATAACATTTCAAAATTGAAGAGAGAATCAAGTCATACCTTTTCTAAAAGTTTATTTATGGGGAAAATCTATTCTGACAAAAGTTATATACTTAAAAATAAAGCATCCCTCCTGGAGAGCTATACACATTAATAGATGTTTATAATGATACTTGCTTTTAGATGAAGCTGATTGGTCCAGTGGCCGATGACTTTGTACTCTGTGCTTTTGTTGGTTATTTGATACTGGAAGATATCATAACGTCCAGGAGCATCTCCGTTTTCATTAAAAGTGACAGGAGTGCCAGCACTGCCTATAAAGATTTAGAAAACAATGTTAATAAAGCTTTAGTAAGATAGCCCACTGGGCTTATTTTTCTTTTAGAAGGAATGGTAGATAAAAATATATTGTGTGCAGTAAGTGATACAAAGATTGCAATCCATACAAGGTCATTCTTGATAGCATAATATCTTTTACATGAAAAGAAGCCTAGACGTACATACACGAGTAAGATGTGCTTTATTGTACACATTAGAAAGTAAATGATGAGTATCCAAGTTAAGCAATGCACATAACAGCTAAATAAATAAAAGTTGATAGGCTGAATATTCAATACTGGCTACATAGTATGATAGTTAATAGAGAAAAATGTAAATGTTTTGAAGCATGACAGCTATTGTACAATTCGAACTACTAATAGCAATTCAAATTATAGCAGGAGAATGTTCTGGCCAGAATCCTGAGTTTTGCTTTTTCTAAACTCTCTAAAGCAGTTGCCTTTTCAGTTCTCTGCTACTTCTGCCCCAGAGTATATCAATGGGGTCTACTGTTGGGAGCCTCTCAATGGGTGAGGCAGTGATCTATGGGAAGTCTCAACTCTGCTCAGATCATAAATGTTCTCCCCCTTCACAGTGACAGGTCTAAGAGTGGCAGAGCAGCAGGATGCAAGAACTGTAGTCTGTTCTAAACTCCATTCCTTTCGGAGGTTTTCATCTTTTCTCTTAATAGTTTCTGCTCACTTTTACTTTCCCTCTTACTAACTTTTATGTAATTACAGGGGAAGAGTAGAAATGGACCACCACCCCCAATGTGTTCTTGTTCCATCTAGCTTCACTATCCATATAGAATTTCCTTTTCTCTAACAGCTTTTAGGCTTCTGTACATTTTTTTTTATTCTTTCCTATCTTGAAAAATTCACATGACACCAATCCCTTTTCTCGGTGTCTGTCTTCTCTCTGCAGGCCTCTTCTCTGACTCTCTTCTCACAGGATATTGGATTTAATTTCTATAATGTGCTAGAGAGTTTCCCCTTCTTCTTATCTCTGTCTCATACTATATTCTCCAAAAGTATACATTACTAATAGTTATATATATCAACTGTACATATTTCCATCTTACAATGAGTTTCTTATTCTATCTGTAGAGTTGTTTACCTAATTACCAGCCATCACAAAATTCCAAACTATTTAACTTATCAAACAAATTGATGACTTTATCAAAAAAGACAATAAGCTGTAAATAAATTTAATCAGAGTCACATAGCATCAATGTGAATACTTTTCCAGTATTTAATGGACAGATGTCTAATATTCTGTTTTCTTGATTCTTCCTAAAAAATCGTGATGTAAGTTCTCTGATGAGACTACAGATATCTGGTATCATCAGGAACTGCTGAGGCTGCAAGAGATGGCACCGCATGGGAGAAAGACCACTGCTGTCAGAACTGGAAGTTCCATGTCCAGGCTCACTCCATTCCCCATTGATTTCCACAACTTGTGTACGTCCCTTTTCCTTCACTTACCACAGGGACTTAACAATAAATATGGATAAATTTTGAGGTCCTAAAAGAGCTGTATACATGTAAATTATTATTACTATTATTAATTCACATGGGAAATGACTTTATATATAAATCAACAGATGTACATTACTCAGGGAATAAAATAAGAGCTCTCCAATCAGGCTGTGCTATCTCAGCTACTCGTTATATATTCAAGTGGAACCTATTTGCCAAACCTGACCAAAGCCTTTCTCAGCTCCTAGTGACCACGAGCAGGTTAACCTCTTAAATCCTCAGTTCCTTCATCTGTAAAATGGGAGTAATAATGATACTTTTCTCAAAGAGTTGTTGTGAGAATTAAATAATCAACACTTGTCAAGTGCTTAGAACAGTGTATGTGGATAATTAAATTATTCACTCCACATTTATTTTCAGTACACACCAACACATAGTAATAGAAAGGATGTTGGAAGTTCTCTAAGTGATGGCTAGACAAAAGATTATTGAAATTCAAATGAGGAAGATATTTCTGACTAGAAAAACACATATGTTAAGAATTTCACATTAACACGATCAATTCCTGACATCTATATGTCACTATGAAATATTTGAATTGCATATTCTCTCCTCAATAAAGGGATACTTAATTCTCTCTACTTAAAATATCCCAAGTTGTCACCTCCTTGACTGAGGGACTCCTTATATTCCACAACAGCAGTTCCCAATCTTTTTTACAATCACAGTACCTAAGATGAAATAATGTCACTTGTGTAACACATTACCATGAATATACCCTGAGTTATACATAATTCCTAATGTGCTAGCTGTTTCTATATCCAAGTCAAGAAAGCCTCTCAAGAGAGCTCGTTGGAGAGCTACATCGTCACAAAATACAATAATTTCCAACTTAGATACTTTGAATATCATTATTAAGATAAGTTACACTACATCTGACAGTGTATTAAGGTGCAATATTCTAAAGTAGTTATGAGTGTGGGTTCTGGAGACAGATCATTGGGTTCAAACGCCACTATGTCACTTATTGACGTAGTATCTTGAGTGCATTTCTTAATTTCCCTATATCTCACATTTCTCAGTTATACAGCAGGCTAACGGCAATTCCCACCTCAGAGGGATATATAAGGATTAAATGAATCAACATATATAAAACATTTAGTACATCATATTATGTATTAACTATAATTTCTTCTGTTGTTTTATGGAAATGTTGTGTTTGAGAGCCACTGTCTATATGAGAACATATAAACTCAGTGAGCACGTAAGTTTTCATGATGTCACTCTCATTAATCTCTGTTCTCTTTCAACACAATGCCACTTATACCTAAAATGCAGGTCCCTAAATTCATCATGCTCTATCTCACCGTTCTGTCTTTGCTCATGCTATTTTCTCTAATTTCCCATTCTCTTTCCTCCTTACCCCTCTCTATATAATTCCTTCAAGATATGGTTCAAGGTCCATGCACTTACAGAAGCTTCATCTTACTCCAACCCTGGGGAAGGTGCCCAACCACCTCTTTATGTCCTAACATGCAATACCAAAGCCCTCACAACACTCCACAGACTTTTACTAACCATCCTGTACCTGACCAAACATTTATTCCACAGATGCTTTTTTAGAGCCCACTATGTGTTCAACATTGGGTGGACCCTCTGCAATCCTCACAAAGCTATGGTCTTCTTAGGAAAGGCAAAAGTATCTATTATCACTGTAAGCACTGCAGCAAAGACAGTGCTTAGTCCCAAGCGAGTAATCAATAGATTATAGGAAAGCATGAAAGAGGCATCCACTAAAGATTCCAAGCAAATCCATGCTTCCCTCTTGGTGACATTATGAACTTCATGTATATTTCCTTCCATCTTTTGTATTCACAAATGGAGAGAACAAATAAATCCTCTCACCTTGCTATTAATGTGACATTAGGGAAACCACAGGGAAACTTTGACATATCTTTGAATGGGCTCTGCGTTAATTACCGGTAGCTGAAGTGGTTTTTATTACTGATCACCTTTGCATCTTGTTTTCCTAAAGCGATTTCTAGTCTCAAACTAGCCTTGCAGTTGAATGATTTCAACCCTCTTTCAGGAAGAATTGATTCCATTACATATTGACTCATTTCAAATGACTGCCATGGAACTCTGGTCGATGTAGAAAGAGCATCGTTGAGTAGCCATAAGGAACTAACTCGTTAGCTGTTTAATAATTCCTACAAGTTTGCCATCTTTTAAAAATACCATTGTTTGTACTGAAACTGGCCACTCTGAGAAACAGAATTAAGTGCCAAATATTTTTTTGTCCCCAAAAAAATTTCAAATGACAGATGTTTGTTAATATAGTCATCAATTTATCAAGGTTTAATAACAACACAGGTAAGAAATAAAATTTAAATATATTTGATTAAGCAATATTCACACATATTTTATATGATAAATTACACTCACATTTTCCTGTTTTGTTTCTCTCCATCCTACACTTTAGGTATTTCATAAATTTTGAAGTGTATTAATTTTGTTTTTGAGGAGGGTGGAGGACAGGGTCTCCCTCTGTCACTCAGGCTGGAGCGCAGTGATGTCGTCTGGGCTCACTGTAACATCTACCTCCTAGGATCAAGGGATTCCCCAACCTCGGCCTCCTGAGTAGCTGGGACCACAAGCGTGTGCCATCGTGCCCAGCTAATTTTTGTAATTTTTGGTAGACACAGGGTTTTTCCATGCTGCCCAGGCTGGTCTCGAACTCCTGGGGTCAAACAATCCTCCCACCTTGGCCTCCCAAAATGCTGGGATTACAGGCATGAATAAACGTGTCCAGCCAAAAGTGGATTAATTTTTTTAAATAGTTTTCAGGCTGGGTGCAGTGGCTCATACTTGTAATCCCAGCACTTTGGGAGGCTGAGCTAGGAGGATCTCTTCAGGCCAGGAGCTGAAGACCAGCCTGGACGACACAGTGAGACCCCCCATCTGTACCAAAAGAGAAATAAGCCAGGCATGGTGGCATGCGCCTGTACTCCTTATTACTCAGGAGGCTGGGGTGGAAAGATCGCTCGAGACCAGGAGCTTGAGGTTACAGTGAACTAGAATTGCGCCACTGCTCTCCAACTCCAAGTGACAGAGCGAGATGCTGTCTTCAAACAAACAAACTTTTCCATCCACATTTGCTAGTGAGGAAATGGAAACAAGCAACATAGAATTGTGAGGTAATGTCTACTCATCAGGTGCTACCCTTAGAGCTCATACATCTCCTTGAATATTTTCTGTTCAGTAAGAAATGTGTCAAAAAATATTTTTATTCATAGGCATCTCAAACACTCCAACATGGTTTTGGAGGGAAAATAATACATTCAACAAAGATTTTTTTTTGAAAATGTTGGCTCTTTTGAATATTGTGCAGGGGAAGAATATGGGCTTGGGATACAGGGACTAGAGTCTGCTTTCTGACTCTACCAATTACCTGTGTGATCTGAGTAAGTTAATCTCCTTAAAAGCCTGTTTTCTCATCTGCCAAGCAGGCATAATAA